AGTAGTAACAAGTGCCACGCTAGTAGTAACAGGTGCCTTACTAGTAGTAACAATGTTTGCTAGTAGTAACTGTATAGCGCTTAGGTCCGCTTACCATCCGCTTCTCGCGCCTGTGGAGTGCCGATGCCGCAAGCCGTCGAAACCGGCTCAACTCCAAAACTAGCGTCCGATCGCTCCTAGTAAGGCCAGGAGCTACTAGTAGCTTCTTTTGCACAAGTTTGTCAATAAAATGTGAACAAAAATGCACTTGTTTTTGCGACAATCCATTGCCGCATCGACTTCCTCCCTCGACTGCTATGGCAAAAGGTGTTGTCCAAAGCGATAGTTGCAACTCTCGATGTGAGGAAAGCCGGAGCCAGTCTGAAGTCACAAGACTATTGTCATGGTCATTCATGACTTCGTCATGCTTAAAAAGAGATGTGTTTTGACAAGCACTTTCTCCACCCCGACATGCTTGTGCTTCTCGCACGCCAGATTGGAGAAAAGCCGATCAGCATTCTGGACTGCTCCGGAAATTCCCGGGCGCCCCAAAAACGGAAAAGGAGAACCGAAAAAGATCAAAATGACTATAGAAGCAAGGAAGCTACTAGGAACATGTTCTAAAGATCAGTTTCTTCTCGCGGTTTCAAGGCGGCGCACTTGGTGAAAGAGCGCTTTGGTCGTTCCGTGTGGGTCTTCATCGTCTATGACTTGGCCAAAAAGGAATCCCTGGACTATGCCTTGGCGTTGATCTTGGAGGCGAGAAGAGAGGAAGACGAGAGGAAAGGGGGGGGTAGGAAGCTACTAGGAACAAGTGCATCGCTACTAGTAACAGGTGCCTTACTAGTAGTAACAAGAAGCTACTAGGAACAAGTGCCTTACTACTAGTAACAATAATAATTGTAATTACTAGCTTCTTGTTACTGCTAGTAAGGCACCTGTTACTAGGTAGTAAAGCACTTGTTCCTACTAGCAAAGGAATCTACTAGGACGAAGACGAGACCCGTGCTCTCGGGTCGTTAGGTCCATGCTGCTGGAGCCCGAGCGCTTCTCTTTGGAAACAAGTGCCGTTCTAGCAGCGTTCTCCGAAAAAAGAAAGATGTTTCTACTAGCTTCTTGTTACTACTAGTAAGGCACTTGTTACTACTAGCGTGGCACTTGTTACTAGGAGGAAGAAAATGTGATGAAATCGAAATCGTTCATTCAGTGCTACAAAGTGCCTCCTTTCCTTTCCAGGTACAACGTGGACAAAGGTGCCCCGATTCAGGCTGCCGAATGTCCTGGCTAAAACTGGTGTTCGGGAGAGGAATGGAGAGGAGGAGTTTCCCGCTTCGTGGGGGAAGGGCTTTGCAGTAAATCGGAAGGAAGGAACGCACAAGAGAATATTCGACGCGAGTAGAAACAAGAAGCTACTAGAAACAAGTGCATTACTACCTAGTAACAGGTGCCTTACTAGTAGTAACAAGAAGCTATT